TGTCCATTCCATCCCACACACTTGGTGCATCATTCACTGTGATATCTCAACTCAAGGCTGACCTCCTTGAGATATCAGTGCTGTTGGCCAGACATGAAGCACAGCACACAATCAAACAGAATGGGCAAACAGCAGTGTGTCGCAAGCATCTTGCCACCCTCACTGGTTGGCAGTTTATTTTCTGTGGGGAAGATGAAAGAGAAAATACCAAATGGCGATTTTCCAGACTCGGAGTTATTTCAGACCCGAATAACTGGAAACTCGCCCCATCTTGAGCGGTGGGTCATTCGCCCTAGAGATCGAGAGGAGGGTCCAAAGTAAGCACTTCCGCCACGAATTGTGGCAGCTCATTTGTATAGGCCTTCCCCACAATGGAGTTCCTGGTTGATGAAGCGCTTGAGGAGGAGCTGCAGCAGAGCAGTGACCCTCGCGTCCATCTCATCGCCGGCGCCTGTGCCGGTCTCATGGAACACTGCGGCATGTTCCCCATCGACACTGTCAAGGCACTCCCTCTTTCCTCTTCATTATCAAATTTAAATAAATACAGATTAGATTTGACAAAATTCCATTTTGTCAACGCAGACAATGATTTTTTTAATACAATTTTTGCAACTTCTCATCTCTCCCCCCCCCTCCAACAACTGCGCAGACCCACCAGCAGCTCGCTGGATCTCGAACGAGCATAGCCGCCACCATCCGGACCATCGTCGCCAAGAACGGTGTCACGGGCCTCTTCCGAGTACGTCCCATCTTGTCCCGCCCATCGTAACGAACATCAATTTTTTTAGTGGTGTGTGACGTGACGTTGGCTCATGATCATGAACGTGTGCGATGGCGTGCGTGCGTGCGTGCGTGCGCAGGGTTTGCCGGTGGTGGTGGCGGGCTCGGCTCCGGTGCACGGTGTCGCCTTCTCCATCTACGAGTTTTGCAAACGCCTCTTGGGCGCCGATCAGTGCGTTCCCCCCACCCACCACGCGCGTTCGATGGTGCGTGCGGGAGTGCTGACAACACTTGTTCGTGTGTTGCGTGTGTGTCGTGTGCGTCGCGTGTTGTGTTGTGTCGAACAATGAATGTACGCAGACCGGGCCACCACCTGCTGGCGTCGAGCATGTCGGGCGTGGTGGCGACCCTCGCACACGACGCCTGCCTTGCCCCCGTCGACACCCTTAAGCAGCGCCTTCAGTTCTCCGCCCGCCCCTACCGGGTACCCCCCCCTCATTGCCCGCGGCACCTCCCGCACGTGAAGATGGGCAGCTGATGATGGTGGTGATGACCGCGGTTCGCAGGGCGTGTGGGACTGCTTTGGCCATATTTTGAAGAGCGAAGGCGTGTCGGGTTTCTACCGCGGTTACACCACGGCCGCGGTCATGAACCTGCCCCACGCCAGGTACGACACGACACGACACGACACGACCAACGACCAACGACACGCGTGGTTTGACTGGGTTACGTGTGGGCGCACAGTATTTATTACGGGGCCTACGAGAGCATAAAGAAGCTGCTCAAGCGGGCGACGGGGAAGGAGTACGAGAGCAACGACCCGGTCACCCACATGCTCGCCGGAGCTGCCGGCGGGTGCCTGGCGGGCGGCCTCACCAACCCGCTTGACGTCGGCAAGACCCGGCTTCAGGTACGCACACGTGCTACAGCACACACGCACACGCACACGCACACGCACGTTGACACACGGTGACACACGCGCACGATGACACACGCGATCCGCACTCAACTCGCACGTGTGCGTGTGCGGTGGTGTCAGGTGGGCACGGACGCGGGGAAGAGCTACCGGGGCATGGTGAGTACGCTCCGCACGATATACCGGGAGGACGGGTGGGCGGGCTTCACCAAGGGCATCCGACCGCGGATGGTGTTCCACTCCATGTCGGCCGCCATCAGCTGGACCACCTACGAATACATCAAGCACACCCTCGAACCCTCCTTCTCCTCCCACTCTCCTCCATCCTCCAATAAAAGCGGCCCCTCGTGAGGTGCGCCGTCAACCCCAACAACTCCACACACACCCGCCCCACAACATGTCGTCGCCCGGGAAGCTTTTTATTGTGGCTTTTCTTGTTTTTTTTTTTTTTTTGATTGATTAGCTGTTTCATCAAGAGCTGCATGAACAAAGCCAGAAAGGTGTGTTGGTTGGTGCGAGTTGGTGTTGTTGTGGTTGTTTTTGTTGTTTTTACTACGAAAGTGCTACAGCCGATCAGCACGAGCATGCTGTACAAAACACCGGTGTAGGGGGGGGGGAGGTGGTGGCGGTGGTCACATGTGTGGGAGGCGTGGGGTGTTCAGGAGGGGGTGGGCTTTTCGGGCGCGGGCTTAGTTGTCGAGGTTGTGGAAGGCCTGCTTGATCTCCTCGTGGAGGGCCTGGTAGTGGGCGACGACCTTGGCCTCGCCGTCGTGCGGGTCCTGGAACTTCATGGAGGAGATCTTGTAGATGATGTCGCCCATGGACTGCCTGATGGTGTTCCAGGTGATCTTGCTGTCGTCGGACGTCTTCTCGACGGCCTTCTGTGCGAGGTTGTAGAAGAGGACCATGTTGCGCAGGATCCACGTCGTCTTGTAGAAGGGGCAGTAGGCGTCGTAGGGCGTGAAGCCGTTCTGCTGCAGGAAGTCGTCCTTGATGAGCTTGGCCACCTCGAGCACGATCTTGTCCGACTCGGCGAGCGAGTCCTTGCCCACCAGCTGCACGATCTCCGTGAGGTCGTCCTCCGTCTGCAGGATCTCCGAGCACTTGGTGCGCAGGGCCGTGAACTCGGGGTCGGCGTTGTCGTAGAAGGGGTCCAAGATCTTGAGGTACTTGGAGAACGAGATGAGCCAGTTCACCGACGGGAAGTGCTTGCGCTGGGCCAGCTTCTTGTCGAGACCCCAGAACACCTGCACGATACCGAGCGTCGCCGACGTCACCGGATCGGAGAAGTCACCGCCGGGCGGCGACACGGCACCCACGATCGACACCGAACCGTCGCGGTTGGGTCCGCCCAGGCACTGCACCTTGCCGGCGCGCTCGTAGAACGAGGCCAGACGGGCGCCCAGGTAGGCCGGGTAGCCCGAATCGGCGGGCATCTCGGCCAGACGACCGGAGATCTCACGCAGGGCCTCGGCCCAGCGCGAGGTCGAGTCGGCCATCATGGACACGTTGTAGCCCTGGTCGCGGAAGTACTCGGACAGCGTGATGCCGGTGTAGATCGACGCCTCGCGGGCGGCCACGGGCATGTTCGAGGTGTTGGCCACCAGCGCCGTGCGCTTCATGATTGACTCCTCCTTGTCGCCCACCGTCATCGTCAGCTCGGGGAACTCCATGAGCACCTCAGCCATCTCGTTACCACGCTCGCCGCAACCTGGGGTGTGGCGTGTGTGTTGGTGGCAGCCCGCGTTAATTTCATTATTTCATTTTTAGAATGTGGTGGGGTGTGCTGCACGTACCGACGTAGATGATGATGTCGGAGTTGGAGTACTTGGAGAGCGACTGGGAAATCACAGTCTTGCCGCAACCGAAGGCGCCGGGAATGGCGGCGGTACCGCCGAGCACGCACGGGAACAGGGCGTCGAGCACGCGCTGACCGGTCAGCAGCGGGTAGTCCGACCTCTTCTTCTCCACCACCGGCCTTTCGAATAAAAAAAAAGGAAAACGTCAGATTGGCAAATCCGGCATAAATCATGAAATGATTTCAAAACGTTTGCGTTTGATTTCGTTATGTTTGGGGGGGGGGAAGAAGAAGAAGGGGGATGAAGTGGAGTGGGTGGTACGGTACCTGGGCTTACGGACGGGCCAGTTCTGGAGCATGGTGAACTTCTTGCGCTTGCCGCCGAACTCGACCTCGAGGACGACGTCCTTGAGGGTGTAGTTGCCGGCCTCGGCGATGTAGACGATCTCACCGCGGTCCTCGGGCGGGAGCATGACGCGGTGGGTGATGAGAGTGTTCTCGGCCACGGTACCGAAGATGTCGCCGCCGGTGATGTTGTCGCCCACGCGGAACTGCTTCGAGGGCTCGAAGAACCACTGGGTCTCGGTGCTCAGGGCCGAGACGTTCACACCGCGCGGGATGTAGATGCTCTGGCTGAGGTCGGCAATGGAGCGGAGCGGACGCTGGATACCGTCGAAGATCTGACCCAGGATGCCGGGGCCGAGCTCGACGGAGAGCGGCTTGCCCGTGCGCAGGACGGGGTCACCCACGGTGAGACCGGAGGTCTCCTCGTACACCTGAATGGTCGCCGAATCGCCCTCGAGCCTAATGATCTCACCCACCAGCTGCTCGTGACCCACGCGCACCAGCTCGTACATGGCCACACCCCTCATCCTCTCGGCGGTCACGACTATTCAGTCCACAACATCAACGCAACCAATCCACAAAAAATGCGACGTTAGACTCGCCATTTGAGGCCAAATTGTGAAGAGTGAAAGTGAAATGGGGAAGGTGACTTGTCCGCAAACGTACCAGGACCGGAAACGGAGAAGATGACACCATAGTTGCTCTCGTGGTCAGTGTCAACGAGCGAAGGCAGCGAATACTGTTAAAATTAAAGATTGAAACGATGAGAACCACGAAAGAATTGTCCATTGCATCAAATAAACAAAAACTCGGCGATCCATTCTCTGCTACGCGTTGAGGGTCAAAGATAATCTTTGAGACATCGGCATGTCGGCCTCCCATCCGCTAATTTTCATGAAATCGCGGGCTTGAACAGGTGCCGCATTGTCACTCACTCACACGCGTACCATGTTGGGCGGACTTCGTAGAGAGTTGTGATGAAGAAGGTCGCGCTACGAAAACAACAACTAGACGAAGAGAAAACGGGAAGCCGCCACCGCTGCTGGCCCCACGAATCGTCGACCCCCATTTCTTGCCACCACCCGGACAATGAAAATTCAAGAATGCGCGGAATTTGGTGTCGCTCGCGATTGGGCAGCCTGCCGCCATTTCCCCTGACCGTCCGATGCTCGAATTTCGCTAGCCCCTCGTGGAGCGGAGTGTTGGGGTGCTTGGCGAGCTTGTACTTGAACCGCTTGGAGAGCATTGCCCCATTTTTTACACCGAGATGAGCAGCACCAGGTACCTGAAGCCCCTCGCTGCATTGTTGTAGTGACGACTAGGATCATTGCAAGGGATTAATAGCTTCTGGAGGGAGAATTTAATCGGCCAGAAAAGTGGGGGGGGGCTGTATGCTAATTATAATTTACATCAACTGCAGAATCTACAGCGTGGTGGAGGATCACGAGGACAAGAAGGCCGAGGAGGTCGAGGAGGAGGCCCCCGTTGAGGAGGAGGTTCAGGAAGAGGAGGCCCAGGAGGAGGAGGAGGAGGCTGGCGAGCGCACGCTCGGCTCGATTCTTAAGCCCGGCGTGACCACCGTGGAGCAGTTCCTTCAGTTCCTGCACCCTCACACCCCCGCCTACAACCCCCACTTCCCCAACACCAACCAGACCAAGCACTGCTGGTCTTCCTACATCAACTACACCCAGTGCACCAAGCTCAAGGTACATTATCTTTCCAATTTATGCCCGGAAGCCCCCAATGTGCTCCTTCTCCGATTTCGATTTGAATTGTTCCGAATCGAGTACTCGCAAGAGTCGAATTGAATTCTCATTTTTTGTTGGTGATGCAGGGCGAGGGTGACGCTGAGTGCCGTCGCTTCTACGTCTCTGCCCGTTCGCTTTGCCCCGACGAGTGGGTGCGTACCTCCCAAACCTCAAGCTCGCCGCCGGTGGTCTCGGGTGGGCTAACACGTGCGTTCGTTTGTGTTGCGCGCGATGGCAGCTCGACAGCTGGGCCGAGGCCAAGGAGGAGGACAAGTTCGCGTCGCCCTACGACGTCACCTCCGAGAAGTCCGCCCACTAGAGCCCCCCCCCCATCGCGGATCAGTGAGAAAGGCGCCCGGGCGTCGTCTTCTGTGATGCCCCAATAAAACCTCTCTTAGCCCTCCTCTATGCGAACGCTCGTTCGCTTCAGCAGTTGTGGTGGTTGATGATGATGATGATGACGATGATCGTTGTTGGACCACACGAACAAGAAGGGGTGAAGGGAAAAAGGGCAGGCGGTGATCAGATGCGCCGAAGGGCGGCGCGGCGGGAGAGGAGGTGCAGCACGCCCAGCGCAATGGCCGCGAGGAGGGCGGCCACCGCCAGCAAGCGCACCGCCCACGACGTGGCCAGCACTGCACCACCAACGTTCTGTGAGCACACGACACACGCGACACATGGCACGACACACGCGACACGGACCCGCGGCGATTGATTGTGCGACTGAGGGGGATGGGGGAGTACCGAGAGCGGCGAGTACGAGGGGGGCGACGGCCCACACGGAGGGTCCGAAGGGCACGCGGCCCTTGTGGTCGCGCAGGAAGGCGAGGAACTGCCACAGGAGGGGCGCACTGCTCCCCACGAACACCGCGTCCTTCACCCACCCGACCCACGTGTACCCGCCCCCGCCCAGCCCCTCTGCTCCGCGCGCGCACCACCGCCACACACGCCACCGCACACGCACACGCACATGTCACCGCACACGACACACGACAAGTCAGCGCCCGCCCCGTGAATGGAGGAGGAAAAGAAGCGAGCCAAGGAAGAGCTGTGAGGAGGGGGTGGTACGGGCGATATCCCAGAGGGCGGAGGCGAGGAGGGCGGCAGAGGCGGCGGCGACGGGGGGCAGGTAGCGCGAGGTGTCGGAGAGGCGGCGCAGGAGGAGGTGGTCCCGCTCCAGCAGCAGCAGCGCGCTCGACAGGGCCACCACCGACAGCGGCGACCCGTTCAGGTATCCCAGGCTCAGCCACACGCCCGCCACGAAGCTCAGCCCTGAGCACACACAGAACACGCACGCACGCACGCACGACACACAACGCACACACCGCACACGCGCATCAGATCAGCGCACGCACGTGCCAATGCTTGGAGCCGGGGGGTGTTGTACCGACGGACAAGTTGGCGGCGACGGGCGCCCACTCCCAGCCCACGGGCGTGGCTTTCCGGGCGGCGGGGGCGGAGGCGGCCCGGCGTGAGGCGCGCGACGCGGAGCCAGAGGGGTGGCCGGCGAGGCGGAAGCGGAGGACGAGGGCGATCACGATGTTGACCGCCCCTGCCAGCCCCAGCACCACCACCCGCCACGACCGTGTCGACTCTGCAGCGTGCACGACCATCAACGGCGGCCCGCGTTGCCCCAAGTCAGCAAAAAAGTCAGCGCACGCAGCGGGCGACAACACGGGGGGGGGGGGGCGAAAAGAGAGGGCGAAGATTGGGGGCGAACCTTTGCCGAGGAGGCCGGGTACGGAGGCGAAGGCGGCGGGGATGGCGAGGAGGAGGGCGGCGTAGAGGGCGAGTGCGGCGGCGTAGAGGTAGGGGAGGGCCTGGGCCACGCGCGCGCTGGGCCAATTGACGAAGCCCGCGAAGAGCGACTGGGCCGCGAGGGCCGCGAAGAGCAGCGCGGCGAGCAGCAGGCGCGCGGGCAGGTAGGCCCCGCACAAGTAGACCGTGGCGCACCCGGCCGCCGACACGCACACCAGACCTCGCGCCCAGCCGCGCTCGCCGGCGGGAAGCACCCCGGTCGCGCCGCCCACGCCCAGCACCACCATCGCCACCACCGCCCAGTGCCCTGCAATGCAGTGAATATTGGAATATTCCACATTCCTGCGGATGATGAGGAGGAGCGGCGGTTGGCGTACGTACCCCAGGGGGTGGGCGGGGCGGGAGCGGGGGCGGCGACGGGCGGGTGGAGGAAGGAGTGGACGTATTGGACGGGCGCCGTGGTCGACGCCGGCGAGAGGGCGATGACGCAGAGGGCGAGCCCGACCGCCACCACGCACGCTCCCACGCGCGCCCGCGCGCCGTTCCATCCGCCGTACTTGCCACTGCGCACGAAAGCACCACCACCACACACACATCGTGAGAGATGTCCCATCACGAATGCGATGTGTGTGCCGTGTGCCGTGTGTGTGTGTCTTGTACCTGACTGTGATCCACCAGACGCCCCACACGACGACGGCGATGGCCAGGCGCGCGAGGGCCGAAGGAATGGCGGCGGGGGAGGCCAGCTGCAGGAAGCGCTGCAGGAAGGCCCCGTGCGTCCACCAGAGCGCGGCCGCCCACGCCGCCCCGTACCCCAGCGTCTGCGCCCCGCACCAGCTCCCCCCCCGTCAGACCGAGCGTGAATGACTGCGAGTCGTGTCGTGTCGTGTCGTGTCGTGTCGTGTCGTGTCGTGTCGTGTCGTGTCGTGTCGTGTCGTGTCGTGTCGTTGGTCGTGTCGTTGGTCGTGTCGTGTCGTTGGTCGTGTCGTGTCCAAGGTACGTGGAGGAAGGTCGGGGGCCGGAAGTTGCTGTGAAGGACGAAGGGCGCCGAGGCCACCAGCGCCAGGAGCAGGAGGTTGGTGATGGGTCCCTGCACGCACGCACGCGTGGTCCCAACCAGGCGGTGAGGATGTTGCAACGCAACACATTGGTGGTGGGTGGTGGTGGGTGGTGGTGGGTGGTGGTGGTGGGTGGTGGTGGCGGTTGGTGGGAAGATGTGGTCGGACAACGGTGTGGGGGGTGGGGTACATCGACGGGGGAGGCGAGAAGACCGAGCTTGGCGGCGTAGACGCACACCAGGAGCCACGCCAGACCTCCGCTGATTTGCTGCGTTGACCGGGAAATGAGCAAATAAAGTGAGCGACAGCGGCACGTGTGAGGTGGTTTTTATGAGCAACATGTTAGGGGGCATTGCGATGTGCACGAAGCGATATATATATAAATATATATATATTAATAATGCGGAGGGTGAAAAGTGTACCTTGGAGTCGAGCAGGCGGAAGGCGGCCACGATGCCCACCATGGACGTCAGACCCACCAGGTAGCCCGGATACGCGTCTGCGTTGTAGTGATAGCACGCCCGCCGCGATGAGCCCAGAAGTTGCAGTGTAGCATGGCGCACACGTGTGCGTGAGTGCGTGAGTGCGTGAGCGTGCTGGTCTAGAGACGGACACCAACCAACCAACTAACCGACCATGTCGTGTCGTGTTGCGTCGTGTGTGCGGGGAATGGGGGGCGAGGCGTAACTGGAGGCAGGGAGGAGGTAGAGGGCCTGCTCGATGTGGGCCAGGAGGGCGGCCTGCAAGAGGAGTGCCACGCTCACGGCGGCGCGCCACTTGGTGGTCCACGTGAGGCCCACGACGGCCAGGCTCACCGCCAGCAGCAGCACCCCCAGCCCGCTCACCCACTGCAGCGAAGCGTCCACGCCCGGAAAGTAGACGCTGAAGCCACAACCGGGTCCCGGTCAGAGTGTTCCATAGCAACAAACCAGGTTACACACGCGCCATAACCTAAGAAGAATGGCGGTTGGGGGGGGGGCGTATGTACAAGAGGTGGCCGAAGGCGTGGTAGGCGTACCACGCCCCGAGCGTGACCGCGCTCACAGCGAAGGCGCCGAAAGCGGACGGAGACGGGGACGAGGAGGTGTAGAGGAGGCCCAGGAAGTAGCCGCACACCACGCCCACGGGCAGCAGATACCTGGCCACGCGCACGCACGCGATAGACAAATTGGTGATTGAGCGCGTGTGGTGCCCGTATGCGCTGTGTGTGGTGCGGTTTACCAGGGAACGCCGGCAGCGAAGGCGGCGAGGCCCGCAGCGCCGGCAAGGAGCGGCGCAGTGGCGCGCGCGGAGCGTGTCTGCTGCTTGCCGCCGCCGAAGCCCAGGCCGCTCTCCACCTCACTGCACCGGACGTAGTCACACATAACAACAGCGGCGCGTTTTGTAAGTTGACCGTTCCCCGGACATGTCACGCGGCCGCGTAACGCGCACGTGTTGCAGGCATTGCGCGTCTGTGTCTGTGTGTCGTGTTACCTGGCGGGGCCGACGGATGCCAAGTGGAAGAGCGGGAGGATGGCGAAGGCCAGGGCGGCGCCCAGCACTAGCGGCGCGTCCCACGGGGCGCCGATGGCGAGCACGCCGGCGGCGCGCCACGAGCCCAGCACCACGCGCAGGGCGCCCCACACGACCAGCCCCACTCCGCCGACCACGCCCAGCGCGCCGGCCAGGCGACCCGCTCCGCGCTCGCTCGCGCCTGCCACCCCACCACCATCGTCATCCACGTCAGCACGACATCGACGGAAAATGAACACGTGTGCAGTGACCACACACACACACACACACATACGGCGCGCGTACCGGTCCACCAGAGGGAGCCGCGGGCGATGAGGAGCCGCAGGAAGACGAGCGGGAGCGACGCGAGCGGGAGGGTGTCGAGGAGGAGCTCCGTCGAGAACTGGCGGTGCCGGAGGGCGAGATTGAGGAGGGCTGGACCCGCCACCAGCAGGGCCACGAGGACCGCGCTCTCGAATCGGCCTTGCACCCAACGCGATGTCGGGCGGGAGGAGTAGTAGTCGACGGGGGCGGCGCGCTGGTCGTCGCCGGTTCCCGATGATGATAATGATGATGAAGGCTTGCCCGAGAACGAAGAAGAAGTGGGCAGCCCGATGAGGTAGTAGCACGCCGACAGCGAGGCCAGGAGACCCCACGGCGCCGCAGTGTTGCCTGTCAACCGGCGCAGGCACACTCGGATTAGAAGCGAAAAAAAAAGAAGAATGGGGGAGGGGTGAAGTGCCTAGGACGGAGGCGGTGGCCCATGCACAGAGGGAAGAGGCCGGAATGGGGAAGCCCGCGTGCAGCACCCGCTCCGTCAGCTGCTCGTGAGGCATGCGCGCCATGCCAGTCAACCGCGTCAGCAGGAGAAGGAGCTCCCACGCACACGCACACGCACGCATCACCGCACCCGAATGCTCACCACACACCACGCACACGCACACGCACACGCACACGCACACGCACACGCACGACACACGACACACACTAGGCGCCTATGAAGGAAGAGAGAGAGAGAGAACCGCGTCGCCTTGGTAGAAGACCAGCCTCGCTCGCAGCCACTCGGACTGGAGGGAGAGCAGGATGCCGACGAGGAGCAGGAAGACGCCCATGGTGAGGAGCAGGAAGATGTTCCACAAGGAGTAGAGCACGAGGGGCGCCGCCGCCACCAGCGATGCCACCAGCATCCCGAACAGCGTGATCCACATCGCCGTCAGCGCGCTGCGCCATTGCCCCCCAACCCCCCAACCCCCCAATCCCATCACCAGCACGTGAGTGCCACCACCACCCACCCACCGGTCTGGTCATCCAACAATAGAGAAGGAAGAGGAGAGGAGAGGAGTGAGTGAGTGGTGGTGGTGTACCCGGCCGAGCTGCCGAGTAGATCGCTCGTGTAGGCCAGCAGCAGACCCGCGAAGCCCGCCAGCCACACCCTACACGCCACGCCACGCATGCGGCCAACAACGCACATCGCGTTCAACGGCGACCACGTTTGTTGTCACTCCACCGCAGGCCGCATAGAGGGAGAGAGGGGCAGCGTACGGTTTGCCGCCCAGGAGGAGGATGAGAGCGGCTCCCGGCGCGACAACGAGGAACCACCGCCAGCTGTTGTGGCTGCTGCTGGTTGCGCCTTTATGTGTTGGAGTGCGGTGCTGCGAGTACACCGCAGGACCCCCTTGCCTCCCATCAACGGGGGCGCCTCCTTTTGTACGCCCGCGAAACGTCGCTGGGGAGCCTACGTTGCTCCTGTCGGCAGTTGCTCCTCCTGCGGCCCTGAGGCGAGGGTCCTCCATCTCGCAGCGATTGTTCGCGAATCTTGTGTGGCTGTGAGTGATTGTGCACGAATTGTGGAGTGGAAGACTATGCACAAATCGAGCAACTAGCTTCTGCGTGCGTGGCATTCCTTCGGGGAGTCGGACTTTTGAGACTGCGGAAAGGGGAAGAGAAAAGAACCGCAATTTGGCCCTCCTTCATTTTGGTTTGCCGCGTCGCCTTCTCCATCCGGAAATCAGCCCGATTTCATCGGCCGCTTCCATCGAGTGTGCCAAGCCGCTTGATTTATTGCTCGTTTGTTGCATCAAATCAAAACAGGAGTCGCCAATCAACCACAACATCCGAAGATGACCGCTACGCGCGCATTCTTTGCCTTTGTGGTCCTCGCCCTCGTGCCACTCCTCGTCCACGGTACGCAACTTGCTACGCCCGTACGGGCCGTCATCTGGCCAATCTGGTCCAACTGATGCAATCGCGATGCCGTTTTCGCGATGGTGCTGCGCAGGTGCTGTGCCGTTCCGAGTGTGCGAGGACGCCAAGCAGCAGCAGGTGGCCCAAGGAGGCCGCACCGAAGTCCAGCTCGTCTACAACGAGAACCGTCGCGAGTACTTCTCCGTCCACCTCTTCTACGTACGTCCGCCGCCCCGACACGCTTTTTTCTTCTTATTTTTTTCTTTTATTTTTTAATAATAATATTTCTATTTGCACGTACGTTCGTTTATGTGCGCGTGTGCTGGCTCTCTTGCTAACATGCGGTTGCCGATATTGTAATGTAATATATTGTAATATGTAATGTAATGTGGGACGGTGAAGGAGGGTCACGACCAGGCGTCGGTGGTGGGCCAGCGCTTCGACGAGCGCGGCAGCCCTGTGGGCGAGCTCATCCCCATCTTCCCCTGGCGCCAAGGCCAGCCGGTACAACCCACCCCACCCCCCTTGCACAAGGCGGCATCAGCACCCAGCAGGCCGGCTGTGATTCTGTGGACTGACAAATCATTGTCGTCGTCGTTGGTTGGCTGGTTGGTGGCATGGGAGCAGATCTCGCAGCACAAGAAGCAGTTCCCGGTTGTCGCCTACAACAACAACACCGACAACTACCTCGTTGCCTGGGAGTTCGACTTCAATGGTAGGCCCTCGTGCTATACTACTGCATGACGACCAACCCACTCACCTGCAACCCACGCATCAATGCACTGATCAACACACACGCACCAACACAAATAGGCAACGGCGTGGATTGGGACGTGGTGGCGCGAGTTGTAAGTGGCGCGGGCGAGCCCCTCGGCCCCGGCGCCTTCTTCCTGGCCTCGTCGTTCGGTCGCGAGGACTCCCCGCACCTGGCCTTCTCCCCCAAGGACAACAACTTCGGTACCCACCCCAACAAAGCCCGTGCGCACTTGCGCATTGTTAAGATTCCACTCAATAATGATGATGATGATGATGATAATAATTCATCGTTTCTGCCGGCACTAGTGCTGGTGCACGAGGTGGACGACCGCATGGGCACGCGCGGCATCAGCGTGCAGCGCCTGAACGAGACCCACGCCATCGGGCAGCCCATCCTCCTCAACACGAGCTACATCGACAGGGAGCCCTTCCTCGCCTACCACCCGCCCTCCAACGACTTCCTCCTCGTCTGGGACTGGGACCAGAACAACGACAACGTACCCCCTCCTCACCCATCGGCGTGTGTGTCGTGTGTCGTGTGTCGCGTGTCGCGTGTCGCGTGGTGACGGCCCCTTGGCCCACCGGTGTGGTAACTGACGAGCAATGCGGTGGTCGCGATGCGGGCGAGCAGAAGACGGAGATCGGCGCCGTGCTGGTGGGAGGCAATCCCATCGTGGCGAGGAACTCCGTGCCCAACCTGGTCGGCTCCACCGTCGAGGTACGAACCAAACAGACCTCTCTCCCCTCCCCCCCTCCCCCAATGCACCCCATTAACCGCCGCTGCCGCCGCTGCAGAGCATCGGAGGCGTCCGCACGCTGGCGCACGACCACGACGCCCAGCTGGCCTATTCGCCCAAGCAGGACGCCTTCCTCCTCACGTGGGAGGTCGACGGTACGCACCGTTAACCGGCCCTCCTCACACGCAGCGATCCACCGCCCACCTCTGCCTTGGCGGCGGCGGCGGCGTCGTCGTCGTCGTCGGGTCACTCACCTCCCCACGACCACTGCGCACTCCAGGCGACAGCGGTGAGAAGGAGGTGGTCTGCAGCCTCGTCTCATCCAAGGCCAAGGCCACCGGCATCTTCAAGTACGCGCCGCTACCCCCCCCCCATATCCCCCCCAATATCCCCCCCCCCCAAAATCCAGGGGTGGCCAGAGGAGGAATTGATGGCTCACCTTCGGAGCCTTTCTCTTTCTCGCTTCCTTTTCCTTTTCCTCTTTTTTCCCCCCTTTCGCAGGGTGGTGGGTAACGCCAGCCACCCGTTCGACCGCAAGCCGACGCCCGTCTACTCGTCCTTCTCCGACGAGTTCTTCATCGCCTACGAGAGCGGCCCGTACGTCTCTCTCTCTCTCTCTTCTCTCTCTTTCTTCTGTTATTCTTATTCTTATTTGCAACGACTCGTTGATTGATTGATTGATTGATTGATTGATTGGTGGTGGTGGTGGTGGTGGTGGTGGTGGGGTGGCTGATTGGTGATGGTGGGTGATGTGCAGGAATGCGAAGTCGACGGGCATCGAGGGCGTGGCCTTTGCGGGCAAGGACCTCTCGGCCGACACGGATCCCTTCGCGGTGAGCCAGAGCCTCAACAGGGAGCACGCCCCGGCCGTCGCCCTCTCCACCACGTGCGGCAACGTCTTCGCCCTCTGGTCCTCCGAGACCAGCCTCTCCCGCCGCTCCCTCCCCGCCGCCGCCCCCGCCAGTGCGTTGCCTCCTCCTCCTCCTCTCGATACCTCGCTCGTGACTCTCGCTCGTGACCCTCACCTTGTTTCGTTCTTTCGTTCGAACCGCACACGACACGACACGACACGACACGCAGAGGCCAAGAAGCCCGTGGCCACGTTCGCCCAGGCCACCGCCCACCTGCAGGCCCGCGAGGAGAACAGCGGCCTGACGGTGCGCGCCTACGCCCCGCGCTCCAAGTTCTCGACGGGCCTGCGCGCCGACGAGACCGCCGCGGTCGCCCACGTGTACCTGCCCGCCGACTTCCCCAGCAAGGTGCGCTCCGCCGCCGAATCCGCCGATGATGCCACGGTCGAGCCCCGCAGCTCCACCGCCTCCCTCCAGGCCATCCGCGTGTGCCTCCCCGGTTCGTGGCCGCACGTTTGTTCAGTGCTTTTTGTTCTGCGTTACTCAGTTTCTCGTTATTAGTGTTATTGCTGTTGGTTGTGATTTGTTGTTATTGGCCATGCACCATTTTAATCGTGACGTGTTGCGCGCCTATGATAGGACGGGGTTCGTGCTCGGCTGCGGGCACGCCCCTGCCGGCGCCTTCTGCGTCGCCGGCGCCCACCAAGGACGAGGGCGGCGGCGGCAACGCGATGGGCATAGTGCTGGGCCTGCTGGGCGCCGCGGTGGTGCTGGCCGGTCTGGGCGTGGGCGGCTACGTGGGCTGGCGCCGATTCCCGCAGATCCGCGAGTGGTGGGAGGCCCGCAGGAGCGGCGCCCACGTCCTGGGCACGTGGGCCGAGGAGAGCGAGTTCTCTATCTCCGTCGACGCCTTCTCCAACGACGACTCTGGCGGCGCTGCCGACGACGAGGAGCACCACTAGTGCCCCCTATCCCCCCCCTCCCCCCCTTTCCACTCTTCTCATCGATCTCCCTCTCTCCACTCCACTCTTACTGCGGTGCACAAAACCAACAAACAACATGTTTCCCTTTTTCCTGTGGTGGCCGAAAAGAAAGGCCGCGACACTTGGCCACTGCACTCATTTGGTGGTCCTTGGCACCTCCCTGTTGACCCCAGCCAGCCCAACAACCACACCGCAAGGAAGACAGCCAGCCAGCAGCGACCGTTTGTGCCCATATAGCAGCAGCTAAGAGAACATGGTATGCAACCCCCCCCCTCTCTCCAAACTCGCGTGGTCAGCTTCGCTTTCGTTCTTCCCCCCCCCCCACCGACCCCTTTGACGGAAAGGGATAAGGGCAAAGACCGCCGTCGCTAAAATGGATGGGGGGGGGCGAACTACCACCACCACCACCACCTCCCTTCTCTACTGTCGCGGCAGTTCAATAGGAAGTCCAAGGCCTCCACGCCCGCTGCCGCAGCCCCGACCAGCCCCACCACCACCACCACGCCCGACCGGTACCCCCCCCCCACCGACCCCCTCCAATACTCTACTGGCAAAGGAGGAGGGCAGCTGCTGCTGCTGCTGCTGCTGCTGGCGCGCGTTGGTTCCTCCCTCCCTCCCCCCTTCTCCTTCTAACGAACAACAACAACCATTTATTTGGGGG